TAGAGATTCCCGAAGCAAAGCCTCAATTCTTCAACCAACTCATCTTTGACAAAGCCTCCAACAACAACCACTGGGGAGAGGAGAACCTATTCAGTAAATGGTGCTGGGAAAACTGGCTGATCACATGCAGAAGACTGAAACAGGACCCTTACCTATCACTACACATGAAAATTAACTCTAAATGGACCAAAGACCTAAACATAATACCTCAAACTATAAGAATCTTAGAAAATGCAGGAGACACCCTTATGGAAATTGGAACTGGCAACCAATTCCTATTCAGAACCCTAAAGGCCAATACCTTAAGGAATAAGTTAGACACTTGGAACCTTATCAAACTGATGAACTTCCACAAAGCAAAATAAACCATCAAGAGAGCAGAGAGACAGCCCACAGAATGGGAAAATATATCTGCCAACTGTATGTCTGACAAAGGCCTAACATCTAGGATCTACGAGGAACTCAAACGCGCCAAAAAGAAAAAAAACCCATTAAAAAGTGGGCAAAAGACATGAGTAGACACTTCTCAAAAAAAGATATATGGGCAGCCAAGAGAACATGAAAAAGTGCTCAGCCTCACTAATTACCAGAGAAATGCAAATCAAAACCACATTGAGATACCACCTAAGCCAGTAAGAATGGCCATCATTAATAAAACCAACAACAGATGCTGGTGAAGATGCGGGAAAAGGAATGCTTCTACACTGCTGGTGGGAATGCAAACTAGTGCAACTTCTTTGGAAGACAGTGTGGCGATTTCTGAAAGAACTAGAAATTGACCTTCCACATGACCTAGCAATCCCCCTATTGGGAATACACCTGGAGGAACTCAAGTCATTCTACCAAAAAGATACCTGCACATGCATGTTTGTTACAGTTCTATTCACAATAGCAAAAACATGGAACCAACCATGCTGCCCATTGAAACTGGACTGGATAAAAAAAAAATGTGGCACATATACACAATGGAATATTATGCAGTCATAAAGAAGGACAAACATGTGGACTTCACAGCAACTTGGATGGATTTAGAGTCGATCATACTCAGTGATCTATCACAGAAGCAAAGAACAGAGTACCATATGTTCTCACTCATAAGCGGACCTTGAGTAATTATCATAATACTATAAGAAAGGGATTGGCAGCCAGGCTCGGTGGCTCAGCCTGTAATCCTGCGCCTTGGGAGGCTGAGGTGAGTGTATTGCCTGAGCCCACGGGTTCGAGACCCACCTGGGCAACTTGGCGAGACCTCATCCCTACAATAAATCAAAAAATCAGCCGGGTGTGGTAGCACTCGCCTGTAGTTCCAGCTACTTGGAAGGCTGAGGCGGAAGGATCGCCAGAGCCCAGCAGGTCGAGGCTGCGGTGGCCGGGAGCGGCCACTGCACTCCAGTCTGGGCGACAGAGTGAGACTCCAACTCAAAAAAAAAAGAAAAAAAAGAAAGGGATTGGCAGTAGTGGGAAACTGCCAGGCGAGGGGGCGTGGGATTGGCAGTTGAGGGAAACTGCCAGGGGAGGGAGGGGCCCACCTCATCAAGAAGGGTACCTGCATAATGAACATCTGTATTCCTAAACCTGAATTATACCCCATCTTTAAAAAAAATGTGCAGTTGAATGTCAGTTTATTCTGCCACAAAGGCCTGGAAAGCAGGATACTGAATGAGATTCAATGAGAGGAACATTTCTACCATATTAGCTAAGAGTCAGTGAGAGACAAAGAAGATGACAGCATAAAAACGAATAAGAAGACAGAAAGCAGAACAGAGGTTACCAGGGAGCAGGACTGGAGAAACTGGTGAGGATGGAGCACGAGGGAACTTTCTAGAGTGAAAGGAATGTTTTATATCTTGATTGGGGTGATGATTACATGGGCATATATATTTGTCAAAACTCATCATACCAGATTCTTAAAATGTGAGCATTTTACTACATAAAAATCACATCTTAATAAAATTGATTTTGAATGTGAAAAAGATGTTAGAGAAGGAAATATCCATTTATCCTTGATATGCAGTCACTAACTTGGGTAGAAAATGGTCAATTAAAATAGATGGTATTTTAATGTGCCTTTGCAGGTAATTCTCAAAAAGAAGTTTATCAGACTGTTTCATATTTCTATATATACTTGGAAAAAGAAAGAAAATGTGTATATGTACATACCCTTTCCTTAACTCCTTGACTTTTTTCTCCTATTGATACAAAGTATTTTACATATTTATGGGGTACATGTGAGTATGTGTTACATGCATAAAATGTATAAGGATCAAATCAAGTACCTGGGGTATCCATCACCTCAGGTAGGAATCATTTCTATGGGTTGGTAACATTTCAAATCCTCTCTTGTAGCTACTTTGAAATATACAAAATATTGTTGTTAACTATAGTTACTCTATACTGCTACTGAATATTGGGACTTATTTCTTTTATCTAACTGTATTATGACTCCTTGATTTTTAAATATGGATCTTTAAAAAAGAGTGTGGGTTGAAAGGCAACAGAGAGAAGTTTAAAAAAAATTATGAACAACATTCTTACCAGTTTTTACTTTCAAGCATTCATAGTCAAAAATGGCAACCCCAGTAGTTTCACTCCCGGTTCCTGAGGTAGTTGGGACTTGAAAAAATAATATTAATTTTAATAAGCCATCTAAATAAAGATCATTGGAGATGTTTAATTCAGTCTTAGGAATAAGGAACAAAGTTACAGAAAGCTTTTCTGACCCTCTTGCTTGTCTGATATATACATGTGTATTAACATGCATGTAAGGCCAACATGTATGATGCCTGCATCTCCATTAACATGCATGTAAATCTAACATGTAGTACATCTGTGTCTGATTTGCATGTATGTATGATGTCCACATTAATGCACATGCATGTTTAACATGTATTATGACTACCGGCTGCATAAATCCTTATGTGTGCTTAATATGCAAGATATCTGTTTGTATTAACAGGTATGTATATTTAAAAGGTATGTGTGACCTCTGTATCTGTGTTAACATACATGTATGATGTCCATATCTGCATTAACATATGTATGTTTGACATGCATGACCTCTGTGCCTGCATTAACATGTGCATGTTAAATATGCATATTTGTTTCTACACAAACATGTATGCTTGATATGTATGGTGTCTGTGTCTGTATTAACAGGCATGTGTGTTTAATATGTATGTAGTTTCTGCATCTGTATTAACATGCATATATGTCAATGTCTGTGTTACATATATGTTAATCATACATATGTGTGATGTCTGTGTCTGTATTAACAGCAGTGAACTCTGGGAACCTCGGCTCCTCAGGGACCAGAGTTGAAGCAGCTGCAGCTGGGTATTCAAATGCAGGCTGCTCGGCACCTCGAGAAACAAAACTCATATTTGCCGTCTCTAAAAGACATCTTTATTCCCTCTTGGCAGCAAGCACAGGACGCTCTGCCTTTGCTGGGCTCGTGGTTTTGTAGCTCTGTCAAGTTTCTAAACCTTACTAATCACCCCTCTGTGTGATGCTGACACAGTTTCACTGGAGGGTTCCATTTGCTAGACATCAATTACGCTGCTCCCTGCTGATTCCTCATTCACATCAAAGCAGTTCATCTGCCATCAACTCACTCACATCCCATCACAAGGCCCGCTCACAACAGGGGTGGGAGAGGGGCAGAAGAGAGGGCAAAACTTTAAACTGAGGATGTGTCCCAGTTAGTGCATTTCAGCTACAAAACTTTAAACAGTACCATGTAGCAGTCATAAAAATGGGAGAGAAGAAAAGACCAGAAAATCCTAATGTTCCCTGTGGAACAATGAGTTATTTACTGATTTGGAGTTCTATATCGGTGTCCTGGGCAGCCACGGAGCAGCTGTCACCCAGAGTGATGTGGCCGTGCTGGCCACATGTCCCAGGGAAGAGACAAAGCTTGAGGTCAGCTGAAGAGCTGTGTGGAAGAAAGGGTTGAGTCAACACCAGAAAAATAACAGCCAGTGTTCTCCTTAAACTCCACAGTCGCTGACAAATGGGACAAAACAGAGAGGGGTTTAGAGGACAAACAGGCTGACATAAGGATCTAATCATACGTCAATGATGACCTTCCCCCTCCTCCATATGGTGACCCCATAGCTGAAGTCTGCAAACTTTTCCTACCACTGACTCAAATTGTGTCTATCTGTACAATAATGAAGATCAGAATTTTAAAATGAGCGAATTGGTATCTGTCTTGGTCTCCAAACAAGGTATTAATTTGAAATGATTGAATCAGAAAGCTTTAGAAGCATATGCACTGAAAGGACTGACTTGTATCTTTCTTAAGGCCTTTTGTCAATTGCAAAATAAAACAAACAAACAAATAAACAGCTTTTACCTGCAATCAGAGGCTTAAGAGGCACAGACACAGGCTTTCCCTTCCCAATGGGGGCGTTGACATAATCTAGGAAATCGGAGTGAGGGCTGGACGCATACAGATTGGCAGCTTTACAGGTGTCTATGGTGGAGCCACCACCCACAGCAACATAGGCATCAAAAGCTCCTTTTTTGGCAAACTCAATAGCTTCCATGAAGCTTGAAGAAGGGAAAATAAAAACCATTATGTCCTATTTTTTCAGAAACAAACTGCCATGCCATTAAATAAGGCCTGATGCAAGTTTTAATTAACAGTGATATGTGTTGGCTTCTGCTTAAAGTAAATAATAACAACAGCACAGGAATACCTTGTATCTGTTGGTTCTACCCTCACATTATCATAAACCTTAAAGGGGACGTCATTCTTCACTAGGGAATCCATAACTACTTGCACAGGAGGGAGCTGGGAGAGGTTCATGTCTGTCATCAAGCAAACATTTTTAGCACCCATGTTTTGTAGGTCCTACAAAAAAAAATTATAAGTTGGGTTTGATTGCACTAGAATTGTAATAGACTCATCTGGCAAACTTATATTGTACATTTAAAAAAATAAAGGACTCAATTGTTGTTAGCACTTGTTTTACAATATGTCACATTTACAGGAAACCGTAGACATCTGAAATACTTGCCATGCCCACTTCCTTTGTAACTCCTACTCCATATCTAATATTTGAAACAGCCATCTAAAAAAAAAAAAAAAAAAGATTTAGGTGTAGGGTGTTTTAGAAAGTTGGCTACCCTATTTCTAAGAACCTGAAATGGTTCCTCATTGCTTAGAGCATAAAATACGTACTCCTTAGTATGGTCTTTTAGGTCATCTCCCACCTGGTCTCAGACACTCCTCATTTCTTTAAACAAATCTTGGCTCCAGCCTCTTGCATGACTTATCTTTTCCCAGATACTTTATAAACTCTCCATTGTCCCCTCAGCTTCAAATGTCTACTTTCCCCACCTCCATATATAAATTAACTCTCAAACTTCTTACTCCAGTTAAAATGTAATCTCTTCTGTGCACTTTTTCTCTCCATTTACTCATCCAACTATCCATCTATCCTCCCACCCAGGCAATGCTACCAAGCGTCTGCTACGTTTCAAGCATGTGTTAGGCTCTGGTAACACAACCAGAAATAAGAGGTGCATAGCTTCATAATGTTTACAGGTGAGAAAAGAATGATAAGCCACTTTTGGTCATAAGAAATGTTTTGTCTGATTCATGTTATGTTTAAATATCTTTTTTTGAATCAGCAAAAAACTTAAAAGTCAGGATTAAAAAAATTTAATATGACCATCTGCATTTCCCGCTCTCCTGAATAATCTGGCAACACTGGGAATGCATTCCTGGTGGCAGCAATGAGTGGGGGTAAGCAGAGTCACATCCTTCAGCTGGGGCCTGTGTTCAGTGAACTCAGCATGGCCTCACCCGGCCTGCTCTTCTGTTAGTTAAGTGTCAGGTCCCTGGTGACATTCAATGAATAATTCCTGGACTAGACATAGACAGGGATTTAAACAAATAATTGCAAGTAATTATGTAATTACAATGTGATAAAAATGCACCAGAATTAATTGTTCCTTTACTCTTGCTTCAACAGATTTCTTTGACCTCTTTTGGGATTGTTATAATTACAAAAATGAAAGTTTAACATAAATAAGTTGAAGAATTTGTAGAACTGGGAAAATAATGGTTGTACAGAAGGCAGTATTCTAGACATTACTCATGTTCTTAGAAGATTTGTATTCTATTGTCCTAACAAAGTACGTTACTAAATAGAGTCAGATCAAAGATTATGAGACATCAATTAATAACAGATTTAAAATGAGATAACTCATTAGCAAAATACTCTAGTTTTATTTTTTCAGGTCATTCATAAAAGAAAGAATGGCTGCGGTGGCCGGGAGCGGCCACTGCACTCCAATCTGGGCGACAGAGTGAGACTCCAACTCAAAAAAAAAAAAAAAAGAATGAATTGATGAAATCTACCTCAAAGGCATAATCTGTTGTTTTCCCAGAAGGTGAAAGCCCAGGAGCTAGAAATGTAAAATGTAAAAAGCACAAACATTGTTATTTGATAGTAAAATCCAGCAGTAAACATAAATGTAAAAATTAGCAATTTCATAGTGAAAAGGTCACTTTTTTCATCGACTTTCCTTTCACATGCCTTCATTTTCTTGCTTTACACTTTGCCCACATGTATTATAAACGCCAACTATAGAAACCAAAATTGTGGCTAGTTTAGAAACTCAAAAGTATTACCTTGGGAGTAAATATGAGAATGAGTTGGGCACTGGCATCTAGGAAAAAGAAAAAAAAAAACCCTAAAGTGAAAATGGAAATTAAAAAATAAAAAGTCTTAAAGCAACTTATATTTCCTTACAGTGCTAAGATGCTATCAAACTAGTAGTTATTGGCAGATGCTGTACAATTGGACCACCCCCCAGAGATCACAATTGTCAAAAAGTTGACCCAGACGAGTCTTTCCAGCGCTGTAGGATCATTCTTTACGAACTCATTTATTCAAACAGTACCTATAAGATGTCTGTGGGCAGCTGAGATAAGCAGTCTAGGGGTACAAGCAAGATTAAGATGGGATCCTCCATCTCCATGAGGCCCTAGGTTAGGAGCTTTGACCAAATTGGCCCAAGGTGAACTCTATCCGTGGGCTTCTCACTCATTCCTTCACGCTGGGAACCTTCTCCTGTATTGTCCCAGTGTCTTCCAGGTGTTTTCCTTCAAACAGGCTCTAGACCTGAGCCTCAAGGAATCCTTCCGGGGACCCACAGGCCACCCCGGTCACCACCCGGCGCCGCGCCCTCC